CAGTTAAAAGATGAATAAATTCCTAGGATCTAATATTCAGCGTGGTGACTATAGTTACAATACTGAATTGTATACCTGAAAGTTGCTGAGAGAGTAGATCTTAAATGTTCTTACCGTAAAAAATTGTAATTATGTTAGATAATGGATGTGTTAACTCACCTTACTGCGCTAATCATTTTTCAGTGTGACAAGTGCTGCCGAGCTGTTCTAATTCCGCTTCGCCTTCCTTCTCGTCGGCATGAATTAGGGGCTTTAGAATAGAACAGGTGAGAGCCCTGGACTGGGAGCCAGAGGGAGCCTTCCAGCTCCTGCTTCTACCGGTCACTCTCCCCGGGATGCCCCTACTCCCTGCATGTGACGCCCGGCTCGGAATGTCCCTTCTCCCGCCCCTTTCTCTGCTGTCCGTACCTGGGCTCAGCACCCATCGTCCACCAGTCCGCAGGTCCTGCCATGAATGTTTACAGGTCTGCCTCGTGCCTCTCTTGGCCTCAAATGACTTGCAGCTGCCTGCCCCTGCCCCTGGGACTGGATGCAATACTGAAAAGTGCCACATGAGGGCGCCAGAGCCACACTGGTGATGCCTGCTGCCCAATCAGACCTGGTCCCCATCAAACTTGTCCAGTAAATCAGTGGGATGCTCCCACTCAGGAGGGAGCCGGCAGAAATAATTGGCTTCTAAACTATGAGAAAAATGTCCACCCCCTACCCCAGTATTGCCAGAGCTGTACTGGCCAAGGCGACCCTCTGAACTGGCCACCCTCAAACCCTGAGGCTTGTGGAGAGGGACTTGCTGTGTGGCCTTGAACCGGGCCCTGTACCTCTCTGAGCCTCAGTTTCCTGCACTGCTGAGTCTCTGTGCAGAGAGGCAGTGGGGCAGGCATCTGGCCACGCACCACTTCCTGCCGACTCTGGTTGAGGAAGATGCTTCCTGCGGTCAGCTTCCTGCTCCATGTCACCAGATCATCCCGGGCCCCACTTGCATGCTCAATGTTTGATAAATGGAACTGAGACAGAAATAAAGAACTCAGAACATGAAATAGGAGTTTGGAGATGACCAGAGGCATTTTCTCGGTCCCCTTCAGGAAATTCCTGGCCACAGAGCACTGACATTGCCCTTGAACACAGGCATCCTGCGGCAAGGCCTTTGTGTGCGTGTGAGGGGGGTGCTCCGAGGGGCTTGGGAGTTGGGGGTGCGGATTCTGGGTCCTTGGAATAGGGAGAGGAGGGAGGTGAGGAGAACCAAAGCCTGAGTCCCAGGGGCATTGCAGGAGAAAGGGGCCTGCTGGGGACAGAGGGCCACATCCTGGGGAGGGACAGGCAGGAGAGGCAGTGAGTTCCTCCGGGGTGAGATGGGGGTTGGGGGGCCACTCCAGGGCAGGCTTCCTGGCGCCTGCAGGTGCTCAACTGTGTGAGGGAGGGGCTGGGCTGCAGACCCTCGGGCCTCCCAGCCTCAGGCTGCTAAGACATCGCCATGATGACGGGGTGAGGGCAAACAATGGGAGGTAGTGCGCCAGTCATGCATCTCTCAAAATCTTCAGGGAGACCAAGAATCGCTTCCTGGGTTGAGCCCAACTTTTCCTGATGGCCACAAGCAGATTCAATTCCCTCATTCTGGGCCCCCACAGCAGCCTGGGTCCCCCTCTATATAACCAATAGTTGCCTGTTTATTTCCCCCACACTGGAAACTTCCTGAGGGTAGGGGCAGGGTCCCATTCTCCTCAGTATCCACCAAGGCCCAAGAACCAGTGGGCACTCAACAAATGTTTGCTGAACAGGTTAATTCATTTCCATTTAACGAGCTCATTAGGGCTCTTTCTCCTAATTAGAAAGCAGGAAGGTTCCTTTTTCCCTGTAACTATCCACCTTTGGGGAATGACGGCAGAACCTCAGCCTCCACAAGCAGAAGGCAATCACACTGGATTCCTGGGGCACACGATTGCATTTTAAGAAATAAACCATGTGTGCTCAATGAGGTGCATCTAAACAAGACACTTCTAAATTAAAAGGTTCACGTGAACTAAACATCACTGTTCAGTTTATCACGCAGAATTAGCCCTTTATAGGACACCTTTTAGCTATAGGTGGTTGGCACAAGTCTCCTGGCAGTGACACAACTCCAAGGAGAGGGGCTGGGGGCTGCCACCATGTCAGGGGGTTTCTGAGTGGGTCTCTGTGGGCTTCTGGAAGATGCTCCCACATCTAAGGCTCCAGGCCACGCTGGCTCCCTCCGAACAACTTGCCTCCTTTGGTCTTTGCTGGTAACAGATCCTGGAAGGGTGAGGAGATAGATGTGGCGGACTCAGCCCCCAGGACTCTCCACGGCCCAGTTCCAAATGCCAGCCTGCCCCATCTGCCTGGGGGCTGCACGCACTGCACTGTCCCTGGAGTCTGAGCAAATGGTGAGCCTGGCCGTCTGTCTCCATGAGGCCCTTGGTCAAGACACATCAACCACTTCTGAGAGTGTCCCGGGGAGCCAGCCAGAGCTTGGTGTTCAAAATCTTTAAAATGAGACCCTCTGGGTCCTGTCACTGCATTGGAAGCAGAGAGCAGGCCAAGGGCTCCACCTGTTGCTGAGGCCATTTGCTCACAGTCTGGCTGCGAAGGGCACCAGCCGAGATGCCCTGGGAGAAGCCTTGTCACCAGCTCCCCGGCGAGGGCTGCTCCGTGAGCCCCTCTCCGGGAGAGGACGTTCGTGTTGGTGACTATTCTGATGGCAGGCAGGTGGGTCCTCTCTCCCCACAAAGCCTCCTTTCTTTCTGTGGATGCATCTTGGGGGAGGGAGGCGGCAAAAAGGCCCCTGACTCCTCAGCGCTCAAGGACACAGCCGTTGAAGTGATGGGGTCATTATGGTCAACAATGAAGCCAGCAAAGAAGGGAAAGAAAGGGGGGAAAAAAAAGCCCCGTGGCTCTGAGCGCTGAGGCCTGTGAGTGGCTGGAGGCTGTGCTCTGACACAAAATGCTAAGGGCGAGATATTGTGTGGCAGGGAGCTTTATTTTTTTCCCTCAAAGAAATCCAGCTCATTTTTCCCCTCCCCATTAATTGGCAGCAGATGAAAAAAAAAAAAAAAAAAGCCAAAACAAAAACCAAACTAACGCCAGTAACCTGAATATGAGTGTTTCTGAAAGGGAAAAGCCGTTTCAATTGTTAGATGTCCAAGAAAACATGAATCCACGCTGACAGAGGAAACGGCCACAATTAGAGGAAGAAGAGGGAGAGGTTCATAAAATTAAGGAAAAAAAATTCCTTTCAGCAGCTCCCATCCTGTAAGCGGCTCCTCCGGCCTCGGTCCCGAGGGGAGCTGGAGGGGGGCTCCCAGGGGGCCGGGAGGAGCGAAGGGCCCAGGGAGCCCTTGGAAGGACAGAGGCCTGGCGGAGGGCAGGCAGCCCCACTGCCCCCGAGACCAGGCGCGGAGCCTCTTCCGAGGAGAAACCTGCTTCGGAAAACTGTCTCCAAAAGGGCCGGGGCTCCTGTACTGCCCACCCTGCGGCCTCAGGAGGCTCTGGGCTCTGTAGAAATGGGGTTTGCGGCTGGAACGGGAGCTAATACGAAGCCTCATCCAGCCCTGGCTCCGGGGGCTGCCTCCCCTGTCCCCAGCCTCTGAGTGGACCCTAGGACCTGGTCCCCTTCGGTACAAGTGCCAACTCCTTACTCTCTCTCTCTCTCTCTCTCTCTCTCTCTCTCTCTCACACACACACACACACACACACACACACACACACACACACACACACGAGGAAAATGTGAATCACTCCAGGTACTTTCTTGCCTCAAAGGATGTTTCAGAAAATACAAAACAGGTGAAAGGTCAAGGTTGTCTTTGGAGACTAGACTCAGGTCACAGCCAACGTGGTAACCACGAGGGGGAGGGGTCTGTGGGACCAGAGGTGGGAGGGGCTGGAGGCCACGTAGACTTTTGGACAAGGACCTGGCAGAATGAGCCAAGAGGCGGACTAGGCAGAAAGGCTGGTCACAAGGACACAGCTTTGGCCGCAAACCACTGAAATCCGCAGCCACCAGCAACATGGCTCTTAGTCCCACTCTGCCCCCGCTTGACAGGTGGCCGTGGCCAGTCCTTGTCCTTCCCTGGGCTGCCTCCACACCCCAACAGTGAGGCACCTCTGAAGCCCTGGTGGTGCTGAACGTCGAGACCTGCCGGTGATGCTGGAGCAGGCCCCTCCTGCTGGGGACAAGTCACCCTGCTGCCATTCCTCGCAGACCCGCGGGCAGGCAGGCGCTGAGACCAGAAACTCGTACGGTGGCCGGATCCCTTCAGTGGACGGAAGCCGTACCTCCCAGGCTGCTGGGCAGGACTCTTCTATTTCTTCCACCCACTTTTTAACCACAGTGTGGCAGTGAGCAGACAGGAAAGGAAGGGGAACTGAGTAACAGCAGCCTTGTGAGAGTCTCCCCGGACTGTGTGGGAAGAATCCCTGCTCCCGGCAAGGGCAGGGACCAGACAGAGGTGAGTCAGTGTGGAAAAGTGTTTTTATCTGGGTGAAAGCAGCGTGGACGACCCATGGGGCTCCATGTCCCATCAGAGGTCAGGGTTTGCCTTCCCCCATGTGCAGGGTGACAGCAAAGCCACGTAGAGCCAAAGCACTGGCCATGGAGTCTGCCAATCTGGGCTCAAGAGTCTCCTCTGTTTGTAAGCTCTGTGACCTTGGGCAAGTTACTTTCCCTCTCTGAGCCTCCCTTTCCCCACAGGTTAAATGCCTCACAGGGTGGCCCGGACCAAATAATGGGGAGAGTCTGCTTGTTGGGTCAACATTTGAGGCTACCACTGCTGGAGCCTGAAGGCAAGATCTGGCTGTACCCTCCAGCAAGCTGACTCTCAGGGGACAAAGAAAACTCCTCTGCCCCACCCCTTGCCTCAGCCCTGAGCTGGGCTCTGCCTCCCTCCCTCCCACCACACGTGCCCAGGAGACACACCAGCAGGTAAGCACGGCCCCACTCCGAGACCCTCTGTGGTATATATATAAAAAAGGGATGAGACTATATATTAAATGACTATTTTATTTACACACCCTATTCATAAATAATTGAATCCTCTTTTTGACCACACAATGATTCCTTGAAGATCTAATGATTACGCTGAGTGACTAAACGTGGATTAGTGGGCTTACTCACATCTGTGTGTGACAATGTTGTCTCACGTAAGTGCTCACACTCACACACACACAGACACACGCACACCAGAGGGGGGCAGGACTCCAGGGGCCTCTGGGCTCTCCAAGCACCAGCATTTGGCTCCCAGCACCGGCGGGGCCCTGGTGGGAAAGCTGTGCCCCACACACAGGTGTGAATTCCTGACAGCTGGAGAACAAAGAGCTGCAACCCAGGCAGTTCCCGCCAGGCCCCTCGGAGCTGCTCCCCTTTGTTCATCCTGGAAGGCATCTCTTTGGATCTGCAAATATTTTAATTCACAGGAACTGAAGGAGGGGGCGGGGTGGGGGCTGGGGTGGCTTGTGGGCCGTCCCTCTGTCTTTATCCAGGCCTTGCCCAGCCCCCATAGTGGCAACAGCATTCTCGAGACATGCAGTGGTGAGCGAGTACCATACACACGGCACGAACTGGACACGGCCGGCCGGCGGGGGCTCGGCTCCTCCAGGTCTGGGCCCTGTCGCACAGCAGGGCGAGGCTGGTCCTCTCACAGGGTCCGCACAGCCACAGGGTAGAGGAGGGACAAGTGCTCGGCCCCCTTGATGGGCAGCTTTCTGGTGGTGTAGTAGTGGATGACTTCTGGGACACTGTCGAACGGGGGGCTGTTCTGACCCAGAATGTATTTCTCTTTGGTTTTGGCCAGTTTCATGTGCATAAAGCCCTGGTTGCTCCTGTGAACAAAACACAGAGGTCATTAGGATCTGCAGGATGACAAAGACCAAGGCAGCCATGCCGCTCAGCATGAGGGGACAGGTGCAGGAGGGCTGAAGGCCTGGTCAGCAATTTCTCGGAGAGCCACTCAGTTTTGCTGCGAACAAGGACATGTCATGTATTCACATGCATTACCCCAGAGAACCATCCCTCTGGCTAAATTCCTGCTAAGGTGCAAGGTTTCCTTGCTGCCTGGGACAGAAGAGATCCTCAGCCATGAAGCAGCCGTGAGCTGCACCTCTCCAAGGCAGGACCAAGGCCCAGGCCCAGCCGAAACGCAAGTGCACCTAGGAGCTCCCCTAGTCCCAGCACCGACCAGGAACTGGTAGCAAACACTGCTGCAGGAGAGTCTTCTGACCTCAAGACCGTGGCCCCTCTTCCTATCCCTCATGCAGTCAAATACTTAAGTCTTGCCTAGAAGCTGCAAAGTGTGAGTCCCCAAAGCCCTGACAAGTGGGCAGGAGTCATCACCCCCAGTTTACAGATGAAGACAGACTGTGGCAGGGACGAGACAGGTGAACCACTTTCCAAAAATGGATGCTCGCTCTTGAGCATCATATGGAGCTGTCATGGGAAGGGACTGCCCAGCTGGGACTTCATTTCCCGGCTTCCCTGTAGCCCCGGCACCCATGTGATTAGTTTCAGCCGATGGGATAGGGGAGGAGGTGTGCTCTTCTCAGTGCTGCCCCTAGGCGGGCACTCTCCTCTTCCTCTCTCTGCTGCTCAGCAAACCCTGCTTCCTTCTCTAAGGCCCAGCCTGACTGTTTCCTCTGCCAGGAAGTCTTCCAGGCTCCCACAGGCAGAGCTCCTTCCTTTCTCTAAGGGCACTGAGGCTCAGCACACGATAGAGGATCATGCCTCTATGAGTACTTGTCTTCTTATAATAACTTATCCACTTGCCCAATTCCTAAGAGCTCCATGGAGCAATGTCTGTGTCTGCCATGCCCAGCATCTGCTGAAAGGGCAGTGGGTGGGCTCCTTGGAGATCAGAGCAGAGCCCTACGCCCCATGACCCTTGAAGCCTGCCAGCTGCACCAGCATGCTGGGTGGGGTGCAGCTCACGGACGGCAAAGGCCATGCTGCTTCTGCTCGGCCCGAGGGGACCTCTCACACCTCCCACCCAGGGCCCTTGCCACATTGGATCTCTCACCCCTCCATCAATCTGCCTTTGCCCAGGTTGCTCTTTTCCTGCCCACTTGGTTCCAAGCCTGGCCCTTATGACTTGGCTGCCACACCTGTAGATGCTGTGGTTTCCAAAGCACAGTCCAATATACTAAGTATTTTCACTTAGTGAGAAAGCTGGGGCTCCAACCTCTGCTGCCTTCTCCAAGTTATCATCCCTGGACACTGATAACTTGTGTCCAGGCTCCTATGGGTCTGGTTTCCAGGAAACCAAGGCCCACCCCTCGTGAGGCTGAGAGCTCCATGTGGACACAGGTTTCCTTTCTAAGCTCCGGCTCTTCTAGGTCTGGCTGCTCTCACGGGGGGCCCTGGAGGGCTTGCACACTTCTCCCAGTCAGGATTGGGCTCCCCTCGCTTACGAGCGTCTGCCCTATTAACACATCAATTTGGACTCTGGAACCATTTTCAAATGGGCAGAGCAAATGCTTAATGAAGTGCAGGCACTGAGCAATACATCTGCTCATAATAATGTATTTAGAGATGTCACCCTCGGCTTAAAGGAAATCGTTTGGAGAGCAATTATGTTTCAAGAGAGAATAATTCCTGTAAAGAACTGAAATTTAAATCAAGATTTTTTAAGGCTGACAATGTTCTAATTACAGAGCCTGTGGCAAGTTCCGCTCCTCAGTGAAGGGTCATTTCATTGGAGAATTTCCTCGACACATCTGAGAAGCAGGAGGCGCACTTGCTGAAGCTGTTAGAAAGGAAATGGTGTGTGCATGCAATGAAAAATGTACAGCCCCATTTGAGTGACGACCTGGCCACCTACGGCACTGGGGAGATCACTCTGCCAGCCGGGAAAGGGCCATACTTGCCTGAATGAGGCTAAGGAAACTGGGAATAGTTAAAAGAGCTCTGCACTCCCAGAGGCCACTTGGGGTGGGTGTGGGGAGAGCAGGGGCTGGAGCTGCAGGTGAATTTGGGCACAGGCAGGGAGGGCCGGGGCCTCGGGCACATCACGCCCCTTTGTGAGTAGAGTGGAGTCGGTTTTGGGGTGCCAGGCCATGATTCTCACAGATCTACAGCTGGGGGTACACGCATAGGATATGTAAGACAGAATCACAGCAGCTAGCCGCGAGTGGAGTCTGAACGCCACGGCTCCGCTGAGCCACAGGGACGAAGCTGCAGGGAGAGCTGGTTTAATTCTTAAGGAGGTTATGGAAAGTAACCCATATGGGTTAACAGGACATCTTCACACAGGTTGTTATTAAAACATCCAGCAAGGGCAGTGGGCTCAGATGGTGGCAACAGCTGACAGAGCTAGAGGTAGAAGCAGAAGCCCCTCTGTTCCCAGGCCATAGGCTTGAAATTGAAATGGCCAGCAGGTGTTAGAAATGCCACACTGATGTCCTCACCTCAACAGACAAGGGCACTCCAGCCTAATGTTTGTTCCTCTGACGCTTGTATTTCAGTACATGCTACTTTATAACCCAGCCAGGCTGTACCAATGGGGCAGGCCAGTCATGAAGTTCAGAGACCAAGGCAGAGGACCCAGGCCCTGTGGCCCCAGTCTGACCCCGTGGCCTGACCATTCCCTGGCAGAGGCAGAAAGGCCAAAGGCTGGCTCTCCCAATGCAGGATGGCCGCTCTCCTGGGCTCAAGCACTGAGCCCTGTGGTCCTCTGGACCACGGATAGTGCCGAGCTCTGTCCCCATCCTCACTGGATCCCTGGGGAGCCTAACTGGATGGCCTCTTAGGGTGCTTCCTGGCCTAAGGTCCTGGGTTCTGTGTGTGTAAACACCATTCTTGTCTGCTCGTTGAGGGCTTCTTGCAGGAAGGGGCCTACAGGCAGCCTCATAGCCCCTCCACTGTTGCCCATGTGCCCCTGTCTTGCTCTCATTGGACATCTGTGCAGATGGCCTTCAGGGCTGATGTTTCCTGGGTACCTGCTGTGAGCCAGGCCGTGTTCTGAGCACAGAAGCTCAGTGGGAGGTGGCTGACCCAGCAGTGGTGCTGCTGCTGCTTCCCCCCCGGCAGGCCTTTCCCAGAGCCCACGTTCCTGACCTCTGCTCCATCTGCTCCAGGAGAGGGCCCCATACTCAGCCCTCAGTGCTGCACATGAGGCCAGGCAGGGTGTGAGCCAGACGAATCAGATCCTGACCTAGTGACTGCACCACCCAGAGCCTCAGTCCCTGAGGCCTCTACGCCACAGGGCTGATGGTGGGTCAAAGATAGCAAGGGCTGGCAGAGAGAGGCCATCCCAGGGACTAGGAAGCCCCAGCCACGGAGGCAGGGTGGTGACCCATCATGTGGGGCTGGCAGGCTCTGAGAGGTGAGCAGGCTTTCTTTATGAGACCATCTGTCAAACCCCGACTCATGCAAAGGTCAGGCAAGGCCTTGTCAAACACACCCGAGAGATGTGTTGTAGCAACATATCCCGATCGGTCACCAGGTCGCTATGAGATGCCACCTAATAGCTGAATATTTAAAAACAGCTGCCAGAGACAGCTTTAATGACTCCAAAATCTACACAGAAGACATTAAGCATAAAAAGAGAGAAAGTTAAAATTTCCAGGGATGACAGAGGGTGTATTACGTAATGAACATGCACAGGGATGCTATGCTGCTCCAGACAGTGCTTCTGGATCCAGACGCGGCCTGGGGACCGAATCCTCTCACCTTTCTGGGTACTTTGATGGAAACTGAGCTCAGAGAGAGCAACACTCTGGCCCAATGCACACAGCAAGGTGGGCTTTGGCCACAGCAAAACCCAGGGCCCTTGTGTCCCGGCCACCCCACCTCCCCATCCTGGCTTCTGGAAAGGCAATGGTGCCTGGGGAGTTCAGACAGGCCGCCACCTCCTGCCCAGCTCCCGCATCAGCCCTGTCTCCTCTGATAGGACATCTTGCAAGAGCTAAGTCACAGTTAGGGATGTTTCTGGTGGGTGACCTGTCTAATGAGTCTTGTAAGGCTCTCTGAGGCTGGGGGTGCCGGGGCTGTCACGGCCTTCAGATCGCTCATTATCATCACAAAAAGCACCTCCTCATCACCAGGATCATCAAACACGCCCGGCGCGCCAGCCTAATAACAGGCCCCGCCTCGTCTCATAATCACGGGCTTTAATAAAACATCACTCAGCCGCAGCTGCCGACAGGAGCAGGGCATGAGGCCTCACCTCTCGCTTTTAGACCTAATTGCTTGATGCATATTTCATGAAGAATCCTGGGTAATAGTTATGTTAAACCGCTTCTTTTCATGATGAAATGACTTAAAAATACTTGCATATAATATTTATGTGGGAGAAGGCAAGGAAATTGCCCTCTGGGACTAGCATATAGGCCCCAGTGCCAGGAATCCACACAGGGGTGATCTCTGTTGAAAGGCAGTTGGGGAGCTACTCTCTCGATGGAGATGCCCTCTTGACCGAGAATCCCCAGAACATTGTCCCCAGCTCCCCACTGCCACTGCAGGATGAATGACACTGAACTGCTCGAGTGCCCAATGTGGGCCAGGCACCAAGCTGAGCTGTTGCCACATGTTATCTCATTTAAGCTCACAGCAATGCTGCTAAGTTGGTGTAACTACCACTGTTTACAGATGGGGAAATCAAGGCTGGGGGGGGGGGCTGTATGCTGTCCCATGGGACATGGTGGGGCCAGGATTTCACTATATCTGTCTGACCCAGAAGCCAGTTTCTCTTTTTAGCCCATGGTAAGCATTCAGGGGCTAAGCCACTGCAGCCTCATCTTCCTTGCTCAGTCACCCAACTAGATGGGTCCAGGTGTCTTGAGACATGGCTTTCCTGCAGCTCTGTCAGCTCCTGAGGTCAAGAACCCTG